CCTCCGTCCGGTGCCCAGCTCGAAGTGCCTCCGTCCGATGCCCAGCTCGAAGTGCCTCCCTCCGGTGCCCAGCCCGATGTGCCAGTCTTTGATATCCCGCCAGTCACCGGACACGGGCGGTGGAACATTTTGCCCAGCTAGGACTGTTTGGAGCATCCTGAGGCCGCTCCTTGAGGGGGGGGGGGGGGGTACTGTCAGGAATGGACTTGCCAATAGTGGTGGGTCTCACCTGCCTTGTGGGCTGCAGTACCAGGGCTGTCCAGCGGGTGATCTCAACAACCAGAGGCTCACTTCGGCAATTAGCCATCACCTGGGGCTGATTGCAGGTGGTGTATTTAAGGGATGGCCAGACCTGCAGTCTGTGCCTTGGTGTGTGTTTTTTTCATGGGCCCCTGTACCTTGTAACCTGCGTTCCTGTTCCTGCCTGACTTGTTGCCGACCCTGCCTGATCCTGACCTCTGCTGACTTCTCCTGTTTGATCCCTGCTTGTGACCCTGACCATTCCTCCACCTGCTCCTCCTGTACCTACCTGCCCGATAGTTATCGACCCGGCCTGCCTGATTACGTTGTGCTCTATATGTGTATGTACCTGTGTATCTGTATCAGTTTAGGTTTGGGTTTGTTTCACCTTGTTGTATGTATTTGTGTTAGCTTGGGGTTTGGTGCACTGTGTTTATGTTTGTATTGTTAGTCTTAATAAATTGTCTTATTTATACCATATCTGAAGCTTGCGTTTTCCTGTGTCAGTCCACACACTTCTGGTCACACCCGCATCCCTGACAGAGCATTTTTTCCTTTAAAAAATCAACATCAGCATTCCCTCACTCTAGACCTCATCCCAAGATAGCCGCTTTGCAACTTTTGGTCTACGTCTGATGTCCCTTACTGACGTGTTTTGTCACATCCATTTTTATCAAAGGATGTACTCGTCAGACCAGCAGCCACTTAGGCGGGTAGCAGTCGCTATTTTGGAAAAGGGCATTGCTATGCTTGTAAATCTCCTTGCATCTCCCTAGAGCTCCACATGAGTAAATAGGCAGATGAACAAATACAATACCTTAAAAATGATAAAATACAATACCTATTAATGATAATAAAAGGGCAATAAACCTATAGAATAAATATTATAGATCTAAAAATTGAGCACCTGAGAGCATGACAATCACACTGCCCTCTAATGGGGTAAAGTTTAACCATTATTAACTGCAACAGAATCTAGCACATATAGCCAATTATACACAGACAATAATAGCCTCATATCGTGCATTGTCAAAAGCTAGTCTCAAAACCCTTAGACAATACTCATAAAAGCATAATAACAATAATAATAATAATTGGGCAGCATAATAATAAAATTAACAGGGGAATATTATAATATAATATATTGTCTAGGCATCAATATTGGACCAACAATTTTATGATCACACATAGTGCCTGATAAATGGGTATATGGCCGGTCACTTAATATATCATCAGGAGATAAGTCCATTACCTGACATTAGGACCACTAATATATCAGACCCCACACAACATGATATATCACCAGGAGGAGGGGAGTCAGTAAAAATGTATATATTGTTAATTACACACCAGCATTATCCTGAAATGGTAAATGGTCAGAACATACTCATATTACCAAAGGAGAATCATAAGTCCTAGCAGAAAATGTATAGAATGATGGTCGCCTATTGTTAAGAGCCATACAGTGAAGAAACCACCAGAGACCAATAATCACCTATCAATAGGAATAATGTAGAAATTACAGCGATCATAAAGGAAGAACATGCCTGTGTATATCCAGTCTTCCCCATATGTTAAACTCAAAACAGGAATCATTGTGGTCAATTAAATAAGACCACTTGATATTCATACCTACTATTATGAAGATTGCTAAACAAAATTAATCTCCATACTCAGTAGAAGTTGCAGAATGTATTTTGTGTTGTAATTCCATATATACGCATGACTCGTGTGAGCAATATATCATTTAAGTGACAACTTTGTGCAAAAAAAAAATGTCTTTGTCATTTTCCAAAAACTTGCAGAAAAAAAATAAATCTTCCATGGACTCAATATGCCTCTCAACAGATAGCTTAGGGTTTCTACTTTCCAAAAAGGGCTAATTTGGAAGTGTGTGTACTGTCCTGATATGTTAGCACCTAAAGAAATGTGATAGGCAGTCAGAAAGGAAAAGTTGTTTAAATTCCATTATCTATACCATAGCTTGTAGACGCTATAACTTTCACACAAAGCAATCAATATATAATTATTGTGATTTTTTTTTACCAAAGACATGTAGCAGAACACATTTTGGCTTAAATTTATGATGAAATTTGAGTTTTTTGGATATTTGTTATGACAGAAATGAGAAAATATAGGGTTTTTTTTTCAAAATTTTCAGTCTTTTTTTATTTATAGCACCAAAAAGAAAAAGCGCACAGGTGGGGGGCATGGCTTGGCGCTCAAAGAAAATGGCCACCTAGAGAAGGAGCTCCACAAGACCCGCAGCTTCATAAGCACACCCGCTGTTAATCTGCCCATCTGACATGAGCAAAATAGCAAGGAACACTGCTGGGAATAGGTCCCACCACTCGATTGCTACACCTGTCGCTCAGAGCAGGAAATATTTAAACAGACTCCGCAAGTGAGCCGCGGGACACCAGCCAAGATGGCACCAAGCCATCAGAAGGAGGAGCATAGTGAGGACTCACACTCAGCTTCAGAGGACATGGTGAGATACATAAAGGCCCCGAATCTCCCCCTGACATTAGCTGACATGACGGTCATTGATGCCGACATTAAGGGAGCATTTTTCTCCGCCATTACAGAGCTAAGAGCTGATCTTTTAGCTCTCTCAGACAAGATAGTGGAACAGGCCAGCATTAAGAGGGACAAAGCCATTGGTAGATTAGAATCTGGGGCAGATGCCCATGCTTCACATCTGATCACTATTCACAGACAGAAGATCTGGACAATCGGGGGAGACGGAAGAATATTAGAGTGCGGGGATCCCTGAATCAGTGGAAGCTGATAAAATCCAAACTGCTTTATACTCAGTGTTTAATAGTTTGATTGATCGCCCCTCAGATATTCCTATTGACTTTGTCCATGCCCACAGAGCGTTAAAGTCTAAACCCTTTGATATGAATCGTCCTAGAGATATAATATGCTGTCTGCAAAGTTGCAGTTTAAAGGAGGACATTTTAGCTAAAGCCAGAGAGCAGGAGTTAATTACATTCAATGAGCACACCATTTTATTATTCCAGGATTTATCACCTATTACATTGAAGAACAGACGTGCACTACGCCCTTTACTGGGATTACTCAGAGAACAAGGGATAGCGTACAAATGGAGATTCCCTTTTGCATTACAAGCTTCTTACAATGGGAATGTCTACTTGCATAAGATGCCGGAGGATCTACATGCATTCTGTGAGAGTCTTCATCTACCAACCATGGACTTGTCAGAATGGTATGCTGAATTCCACCTCCCTGCTGCACCACATAGTCCACCATGATCCCCTCTATCTTCCCTGTGAAGCCACCTCACAAAATGGGTAAATACAATAGGCAACAGTGGGGTGGACTATTCCGCTCGCCATTCCTAAACAAAGGCCTACGGCAAGGAGAACTAGCTTGACTGCCCCATAATGTTTATCCACATTACTTACCGACCCCTGGGGGTTATCCAGATGGTACTTCATTGGATAGCATATTTTATAATATTGTCGCTCTCACCTTTTCTCCTCTTTAGTTTCTGGCGGATATTTATCTGTTGTTCTTGAGCTTTCAAAGGCTTTTAGTTTGAGATCACTAGTTCTCTTATCCTTATTGTTATACTAAAGTGATCATTGGTTTTGTGTATGGTTATATGGGCATGTTATGTCAGATGGCTTTTTGGAGGGTCAGCATGGCCTGCCCAAATATGGAGAGAGACGGGCCTAGCAAACCGCTGATGTCTTGTGGTACCTGCTGTGTCATTGATGGACAATGCTGTACCCAGAACCTCCTGGATTTCTAGTACTCCTTTTCTTTCTTTATGAGTACAGACTTGCCATTGGACATAGGATGCTTCCTTAGCTCATATTATACTAGATTTGAATTTTAAGTGCAGGTGGTATTACATGGTATACTATGACTGGGTATCTGAATCGCATTTATCATATGCTATGTGTTCTTCCAGTGCTCCTGTGTAGTATCTAAGAGTTTATTTCTCTTGCTGCTCCAAACTCTTGGTGGCTCTAGTAAGAATCAGGCGAACACCTCACACGACTCCCCAACAGTGGTAACAAATTCTATTTATCACCTGTTCATTAACGTGACCACACTCTACTTCACCTAAATCCACACATATTGGAGGTATTATTATTGTATTTCTAGAGTCCATTACCCCTGGGTGACTCCAAGGGGCATATTTCTCCTCTTTCTCCTCTTCTCCCTATCTTCACCCACCTTTCTCCCTCCCTTTTATTCTTTCTGTCATCGTTTTTTCGTCTATTTTTTTATATTCTGACTATTCTGTGAGGTTAATACTTTTGAGATACTTTGCTGTAACATCGCGTACTCAGCTCTAGGGTCTCAACCCACTTTAATTTCACATAATGTTAAAGGTTTAAACATTTCAGAGAAACGTACGCAAATTTTGAGAAAGTTACAAAAAGCTCGACCTTTATTTGTCTTTTTGCAGGAAACACACTTTAGGACAAATCGTGTACCAAACCTGACTTCGTCTTACTTTCGTAAGGAATATCACTCTACCAACACACTGGCCAAGACCAAGGGAGTCTTGTCAAGGTCCTACCTTTTCGCAGAGGTTATGCTGCTCCATGTGCTGGCATCCATCTTGGGTTTCTGCAAGCATGGTGGGAGTCTTTTATGCTTTCAGGCCTCTGCGGTCCATCCCCCAGAGGGGTGTGATTGAGCACATTTAAGCTGGTTGTCTGCACGTGCTCTTTGCATTCATGTCCTGTTTGTTAGTGTTGTTGCAAGCTCTTATTCTACTCTCGTGGCTCTCCTGGAAACTGACTCGGCTTTGTCTAAGACTACTCTCAGCCTTATCCCTTTATCTGACCTCCTGTTGCTGAACCCGGATTGTGACCCGTGTATTCTTGCCTACCGTTCTGTACTGTTTGTCCCGCTGTTATCGACCTGGCCTGTCCGACTACGCTATCACTCTTATCTGGTTCCTACCAGCTATACGCCATTGGCGGCGGCCATTACCACAGCTGGGGTTTCTCGGGGGCCACGACCTGGTTCCTGGCTGCGTCAAGTCCATCCCCACCATCAGGGGCCCTGGTGAAGAGCAGCCTGGGGCTTAGACTCTGCACCCTGTGACCCTGCCATTAGGCCTGCCTGTCCATTCCACAGCTCCTGCCCTGACAGGTCTCCATTTTAATTAGCAGGCTGGTGGGATTCGAGGTCACCCACCAATTAGTAGACCCTGAGGGTCGCTATTTGTTTATTAGAGGCACTCTTAGAGGGTTTCCACTTACACTGGTGAGCGCATATTTCCCCAACGTTAACCACATGGCTTTCTGTAAAAAGCTTGTTGAAGAGCTCAGGGGATTCGCTTCTGGTTGTCTTCTGCTGGGGGGAGACTTTAATATCCCCTTGAACCCTTTACAAGATACTTCCACCAGTAAACCTAGTGTGAGATATCCAATACTGAAACGCCTAAAACTGCTGTTGCAATCTCTAGCCCTTCTTGACTCCTGACGCTTACTTAACCCAAATGGCAGCAATTATACCTTTTTTTCACCACCCCATATTAAATATTCTAGGACAGATTTTATCTTTGTTTCCCAAAGGGATCTACTCCCTATTACAGGAGGCCCATATTGGAATTCAAATATCTCAGATCATGAGCCATTTCCATTGCGCTTCAAGTACCTGAGACACAGACAAAACATAGTTTCTAAATCCCACTTTACTTACCGACCCAATCTCCTTACAAAAGGTTACTGAAGAGCTACAGATGTACTTCTTCCTAAACACATTGGAAGACCTGTCACCACTTACTGTTTGGGAAGATCACAAATGTATACTCACAGGGGAACTGATCAGTCTGCGGGCCTATCGTAAAAAACTCTCAGAGAACAAAATTTGTGAACTTTCTACTAAAATTGCTTGGCTTGAGATGGCTCCTAAACAAACCTTAGCCAAACAAGTAGCAGTGGAACTAATGGACACTTGGGAAGAACTTAAACAATTATTAGATTCGAAGGCTAAACGTATGCCTTTTCATGAAAACAAAAGTATATTATGAACATGGAGGTAAAGCAGAGAAACTATTAGCTAAAGCTTTAAAGGAATTCACTATGGCTTCCAATATTCTGGCGATTAAAACACAGACAGGCAGTCTGACCCATCTTACGTATCAGATTGCATCAGAATTCCAGGCCTATTATAGTAAGCTATATAACTTTCCATCTACATATAGGCCCCCTTCTCTCCAGGGAGATAGGGCATGGATTGTTGAGGACTACATCGCTTGTAGTGGGATACCCAGACTGCAGGAGGAGACTGAATTATTGGAAGAACCTTTTACTGATACTGAGCCATTAAATCGGCGGGACACAGCTGGTAATGACCGGCTGTGACCCGGCGACGGACACCTGCGGCCACGATCGGCGGCGCAGGTAGGGCGGTGGCGCGCCTCGCCCCCTACCTGTTTTGCAAAAGCACGTTTTAAAATGTGGTTTTGCGCAGCCATGCCACTCTGCCAACGTATTTCTACAATGGCTTGGCAGTATGTGGTTGACCATTTTCTGGCAGCACTTATTTCGGTAATTGAATAGCCTGAGAAGGATCCCACTGATTGCGCTAATTTTCAACCGATTTCATTGCTAAATGTAGACCTGAAAATTATGGAAACAATGATAGATAAGCGCTTGCAGCCTTATTTGATTTCACTCATTGGCCTGGAACAGGCCGGGTTCATGTCAGGAAGGGAGGCCAGAGATAATGTTATCAAGGCGCTGTATCTTTTCACACAAATGTTCAATTAGCACACGTTTACAAGAAACCTCTTATAGAATTCTAACTCAATGGTATGCTACACCCACAAAAGCGAGATCGTGGTTCCCGCAGTACTCTGATCTATGTTGGCGTTGCCGGAGACGGGGGGGACATGTTGCAGATGTGGTGGACTTGGGGGAATTAGGGAATGGAGTTGCATGGTTAATCATATTCATAACCTTGAAGAAACCTTGGCAATTGCGCATGAGAGTTCGGAGCAATTCCATAAGATTTGGACTTGCTTGTTTGTAGGTGACCAAATACTTATTTTCCACCATAATTTGCAAATAAATTCTTTCCAAAATCAGCCAATGTGATTGTCTGGATTTTTTTTCTCATTTTGTCTCTCATAGTTGAGGTCTACCTATGATGCCAATTACAGGCCTCTCTCATCTTTTTAAGTGGGAGAACTTGCACAATTGGTGGCTGACTAAATACTTTTTTGTCCCACTGTACCACCAAAAGAAAGCTCTATTTGTGTAAAAAAAGGACATCTTTTTTCATTTATCTACAGCGTTGCATGACCGCGTAATTGTCAGTTAAACTAGTGCAGTGCTGTATAGCAAAAAATGGCGTAAATTGCATAATCTATACCATAGTTTGTAGACGCTATAACTTTCACATAAAGCAATCATTGTACACTTATTGGGATTTTTTTTACCAAAGACTTGTAGAATACATTTTGCCCTAAATTTATAACTAACTTTGAGTTTACTATATTTTTATAGCCAAAAGTAAAAAATATAGTTTTTTTTTAAAGTTTTCAGTTTTTTTGTTTATGGCGGAAAAAAATAAAAAGCGCATAGGTAATCAAATACCACCAAAAGAAAGCTCTGTTTCTGCGAAAAAAAGGACATACATTTCATTTGGGTACAGCATTGCCGGACTGCGCAATTACCAATTGCAGTGCTGATAAAGGCCTGGTCAGGAAGGGGGTAAAATCCTTGGGAGGGCAAGTGGTTAAACATATTTCAGACTGATGTGAACTTCAAAAACGCATCTACTATGAAAGCTAAACATCCCCCATTTCACAATAATAATGTATATATACCAATCCCCAGGAGTCAGGCAATGACACCGTGTGATGGACGGGCTCAGCCACAGCTCCGGCCATGCTCCTGATGCGTTTCACCCCGCCCATAGGAGGCTTGGTCACAGAAGCTCTGTGACCAAGCCCCCTATGGGTGGGGCAAAACGCGTCAGTAGGCATGACTGGAGCAGCAGCTGAGGCCATCCATCACACAGAGTTGTTGCCTGACTTCTGGGGATTGGTTTGAGAGGCGTTCACCCCCTCACACACGACCAAGTCTCTGGAGTAGCTCGGGATGCTGCTCCCTTCTCTCTTTTCTGCCAGCAGGGTGACTATAATTCACAGTGTATAAAAAGACAAAAAGAGGGCGCTTGGGTCTAGTGCATTACCTTAAAAGATGAGATTTATTGATAAAAAAGTATAATACTCACAAGAGAAATAAAATCAAATAGAAAGCATGTCACAATGAATGCAGTGTGGTCCAAAAAACCCCATGAAGGTGGTCTGGTGGGGGACCATAGACATCTAGATAGCTGGTGGATGGCGCGTTTTGAGGTTGTACTTCTTCCTCAGAGCCAGTGTCTATACAGCCTGACTATAATTCACAGCCTTGGGCAGCACCAGAAGCTCTTAAACCGTTATAAATAATGCATATATAGTAAACAAACATCAATCTAAAACTGTATAAAATTAAGAACAAATTGAGATAAAACTTTTTCGAATGTCCATTTAATTCATCTTCTAAAGGACATACATCCAAGTTAATAAATGGTTTTATTCATTAATTCACATGCGTTCTATTATGTGACCAAACTACTTCTGGTGCAGATGAAGCCTATTTTCCTCTGGAGTGCAAATTTAATGTCTTTGTTTCTCATGCTGTATATTATGGGATTCATCATGGGAGTTAATACTGTATATAACATGGCCACCAAAGAGTCCACATCAGATGAGTAGAGGGCTGTTGGACGAATGTACACAAACATAATTGGCAAGAGAAATATACTGACAACTGTAAAGTGAGAAGCGCAGGTAGAAAAGGTTTTCTTCCGGCCTCCTTTAGAACTGATTCTGAGGATTGTTAAAATAATCTTTGTGTAAGATATAACAATTACAGCAAAGCTTAACAAAGTGACAACGGCACCACTGAAAGACCCAACTGCTATATTGAGGGATAGGTTGGCACAAGCCAAACTGAGCAGTGGATCAATATCACAGTAGTAATGGTAGAGTATGTTGGGACCACAGTAAGGTAACTTTAAGGCAACAATGGTGGCTGCTAGTGGAGCCGCAAAGCCTACACACCAGGCTGCCATTGCCAGTATTATGTAAAGCTGTCTTGTCATGATGATGTGGTAGTGTAAGGGTGAGCATATAGCTATGTAGCGATCGTAGGCCATTACGGCCAGGAGATAACACTCTGTTGCTCCCAAAGACAGAAAAATATACATCTGTACAAAGCAGGCGGTGTAGGAAATGGTATTCAGGTTCATCAGGAACTTGGCCAACATCTTTGGGATGGTTACTGAAGTGTAAGTCATGTCTATAAAGGACAAATTGCAGACAAAGAAATACATTGGGGTATGGAGATGCCGGTCAAAGATGACCAAGCAGAAGATAAAGCCATTGCCAGAGAGGGTGAAGAGGTAGATACAAAGCAATACACAAAAAAGTAAAATGTGGTAATTCTGGAGGCTTGGGAATCCGAAAATGATGAATTCTGTCACATGGGTAATAGTTGCATTGGAAGAAACAGATTGCAAGGAATCTTCATTGACCTAGATCATAGAAAATAAATACAATTAATTAATTATAATATTTTATTGCTCAAATAGCATCAGCGCTATAACCAGTAACAAACCAGTAACAAACACGTTTTGAGCCAAAGCATCCTCCTTCATTAGGGCTTCAAACATTGGTTGCCAGAGTTACAGTATGGACAGTGCTAAATCCTCCTGGATGGATATCTTAATCTAAAATATAGATGTGGGGGGATGTGGCCAGGCATATGGAGCGATAGGCAGCACATCTGCTTTGCTCCTGGCCCGGACCTTCCACTAAGGCTTCTGCTCCCTCGCAGGCTATCTTCCACCCTCCTTATGGGCAAGCATCAACACCGGACCCCCTGAGTATAATGGGGGTGAAGTCTGGCGGTCCTCCTCACCCCCCGGGGACTCTGGGCTCCAGGACGGTGGCCAGGTAAGCCCACAGGGCTCCATCTCTCCACAAGTGGATCCGGCCATTAATTTGCAGGGCACACAGAGCATACAGGGCACACAGAGGCCACGCAGTCTTTCCCCAGCATCTCTCTGCGCTGAGAATGGCTGGGACTGCAGT